CCATCATTTTTCTAAAAATCAGAGGGAGAGACTGTGAAGAGCAATAATTTCTTAGACTGAAATCCAGGTAGATTTTTCACAAATTATTCTGTGCATTAGCTTGTCCTTGGAGGGAAGGGGGTAGGGACCTCTTATAGGAGAATCAATCAAATTTTTAAAAGCAGAAAAAGCACACACCTCAACATCATTGACTTTGTACAGCTACAACTAAAAGAAATTAGATACCAAGAAAGAAGAGAGAGCAGGACATCTTCAAGTCTTACTTAAATCTCTCTCTGAGTATCTCACAAAATGCAGTATTCAACTAGTATCTCACAAAATGCAGATTCATAGCGGAAACTTAGAATCTCTGGTAAATTTCAGGTAAATCTGAGCCAGACTCACACCTATGCTTGGGATAATCACGCCATCATGGAAAGTGAAAAAGGCAATTGAATCCCAAACAGAGTCTCAGGGCCAGAAAGATCCTTAGAAATACATTAGTCCATGTGGAAGGTCGTAGACTCCCTGAGAATCTGATGAAAGTCACAGATTCTTTTCCCAGAAACACGTACAAAATCTCACAAACAATTTCAAGAGTTTTAGGAAACCACTTTCATGAACTTCAGATTAAGAATCTTCCTAGTTAAGCCTCTCATATTTCCAGGTAAAAGCTGAAGGAAGTTTGAGACTCAAGCGCCAAGCTGCCAAGTTCTCAGTGTTAAACGAGTAAAAGCTTAGGAATCTGTAAACAGAGGACAAACCCCCCCGAAGCACAAAAAGAAAGTTAAAATTGCTGAGAAGATAGATTTAGAGAAGCCCTATTTCTTACAAAAGCCAGATGTAAACTGCAGTTGCTTTTCTTTTTTGAGAGAATTCATTTTCTCTTAGCATTTATATTTTCTCCAGACCACGGAAAAGGTCTTCTGTATCCAGTTGTCCTAAAATCAGCTCAAACACATCCTGTCCGAGATGCTTTCATCTTCTCTATCCAATTTCTCTTTGAAATCTTTCTATTTGTCAGTAGCAGCATGAGTATTTCAGATGCAAGATTTCTCATTTGACTTTATTTTTCTTCTCCTTCAACGAGAGAACTGGAAGTCAACAAGTAACCAAGTCCTACCAAGTCTTCAGTCATGGAGCAATTTATTGGGTACCATCTATGTGATAGGCACTGGAGATACAAAGATAAACAAGATCTCGCCATGTCCCCAAAGGGTTCATAGTGAAGCATCTCTCTCTTAATATTTTCATAACTACCATTGATGTTGTAGGTGGTCACCATTCTGTAGTTACTTGTCTACAACCAGCCCCTACCTGCTCTGATTTTTCTACACTACCCCTCCCTCCTAATACTCCAACTTGCTTTCATTCATTATGCTGTCCGAATACTTTCCCTAAAACAATAAATTCAATTTGTAATTCCTTTGCTAGCAATATTCCTCTTGGGCTCGTGGTATCTACAGAATGTCTGTGGACTTTACTCTGATAACCAGATCTCCGTGCATCAGATCCTTCCTTGTCTACCTGAAATTATCCCCTTTACCTTGCGTGCCTAATAGTACAAGTTCATTGCTCTAACCCCACTGGCCTTGAAACTTATTGGCCTTTCTTCCTGGCCTCATCAGCCCCAAATTGGTCTCACCCTCCCTTTCTAGCCACCTTTGGAGCTATAGCTTAAGTTCTGCCTCTTTTCACAAAACATTTCACAAAACTATATCCCACAGTGCTCTTGCATTAGTATATCACAGTATTTGTCTAAATCACTCATTCTGCTATTCAATCATAAATATTCATATTTATATTTCTTGTCTTTCTAAAGTGACTATAAGTTCTTCAAGTTCAGTAAGAAAACATTACACTTTTTTTGTTTACTTTCATGCATCCATTTCTTTAATTTTTTTTTTTATTGAGGCCCTTTTTGTGCCCAGCACTCTACCAGGCATGAAAAAAGGCTACAGTGCTCTGACTTTGTAAATCTTAAATATTTGCGGCTGAGTAAACTTTATCTTTTTTGATAGCAAGTGACATATTTATTTAAGAAAAATAACTTTTAAGCTCTCTTATTGTTAGATCATTTGACCACAGGAGTCCTATAATTTTCAAATAATCCCTAGGTGTCAACAGTTGGAAGTTTCAAAAATCGGGTTGCAGATGAGTTTAAAATATGTTGACTTGTTTGTATTCTTCCAAATTTAATGTAACTTTTGTAATTGCTGTTTAAAAATTACCACATTTAAAAAACTCACATTCTACTGTTCTTCAATTTGGTTGGTATAAAATACTCGAAGTAAATAAAATTAAAAATAATTTAACTACCTGACATCTATAATTACAGGGAACATATCTATAATACCGGCTTTATAAACAAGCCAGAGATTCCCCAGATTTGGCTAGCTATATTGGTAAAAATTTAGGAAAGTAGGTGGTTTATTATGATTTAATTGCATAGATTTCTGTTGAGGGTTTCTATAATTTAGTTTAGAAATATGCCCATAAAAAGAACATTACAATATAATAAATATTCAAGTCAATAAATAAATGTGTCTGTGCCTGTTCTTGGGTTACCTTCCCCCAAAAGAATCCCCAAGAAGGGGATTTCCTTTTGCTCTTATCAGGCATCTAAGCTAAGGGCGGATCTAAATCCAACTCAGAATGGAAATGATTCGAAGTTGGCCTTCAGTTCTTTTTTTTTTTGAGATGGAGTCTTGCTCTGTCATATCATCCAGGCTAGAGTGCAATGGCGTGATCTGCAACCTCTGCCTCCCGGGTTCAAGCGATTCTCCTGCCTCAGCCTCCTGAGTAGCTGGGATTACAAGTGCGTGCCACCACTTTTGGCTAATTTTTTTTTTTTGTATTTTTAGTAGAGATGAGGTTTCACCATGTTGTTCAGGCTGCTCTTGATCTCCTGACCTCAGGTGATCCCTTGGCCTCCTAAGGTGCTGGGAATACAGGTGTGAGCCACCGCGCCCAGCCCCTTGAGTTATTTTAAAAACTGGGTTTTCCAGGGATTCAAAGTTGGCCTTCAGTTCTTCTGAACAGTGTTTTTTCCAGGGATTGCTGGAAGCTCTGCTCAGCTTCTCTGCCTCTCAGCCAAATTTTGCTTTTGTATTCGGCAAGTTCTTTATAAGAAAAACCAGCCCAAATTGATGGGTTCCCTTCACCTTCTGGGCTTTAGTCCTTTAAATTCTCCCTGCCTTGGTGGCGCTCCAGTGTCCTCACACAGGTGTTTGGTATACTTTGTTTTATTTTCATTACTCTCAGGAGGCTTGGTCTCAACTTAACAGCCACAAGTAAAAGCTCCTATACTCCCTACTTGGATCATTACAGTCATTACAAATCTATCTTTCCAGCTAATTATCTTAGATTGATCCTCAGTAGCTCACGACCTGAATCTCTCCCTCTTCTTGTCTATTCTGTATATGCAGAAAATCAGACTCTGTTATCACTTGCTAACCCTGTGATCATTTAGGTTATGATTGTGCAATTTTCAATCTCATCTTCCTGCCACCAGGACCTCTCAAATCCAGTCTTAAATAGATTGGATTTGGCATAAAACGTCCTGGAAATGAAATAAACAGGAATCCCCTTTCCAGCCTCTCTTCCTAAAATATCAGGTTGGAAAGATGTTTAATGGTATCCTGCAGGAAGTCATGATATCCATGTGTCTACCCAGTGGAGGGAAGATACCCATTTTTAGCTTTGACACCACCAGGAAGGTACTCTTTCACCTACTGGGGGTGGAGCAGAACCCTCCTCACATTGGCAGCAGAATCAAAGGCAGTTGGTCCAATCATACCAGCATATTCTGCTAAAGAAGGAACAGGCAGAGCCACTACATAAGGCAAACAAGAAGAGCTGCCTTCCCATATAAAAAAAGAGAACCATACTGCAGATATTTCTTAAGAGTATTTTAGGGGAAAACAAAGTCTCTTTAGTAATATTTTTTACAAGTTTAATGCTTCAAGTAAACTTTGAAAATAATAAGTAAAGATAAAGACATGTCTCTGGATTGTAATAGGATAAAAGAATTTGGCATAGGACAAAATTGGAATGGTATGTACAGGAAAGAATCAGAATGTGGGAAAAAAAGGAGGAAGAGGAGGAAGAAGAAGCAGGAGGAGGAGAGGGAGGGAAGGAGGGAGGGAGGAAGGAAGGGAGGGAGGGAGGGAGGGAGGAAGGAAGGAGAAGAAAAAGAGTAAGGAGGAGGAGGAAAGAAGAAAGAAGAAAAGAAAAGGAGGAAGAGGAAAAAGAAGGAGGAGGAGGAGGAAAGAAGAGAAAGAAGAAAGAAGAAGAAGATGAAGAGGAAGGAGGAGGAGAAAAAAGAAAAGAAGCCTCCCTCAAACAAAAACCAGAACAATCCAGACCAAGCAAGCACAGAGACAACTGACCTTGATTTATGATATGTGGAGGTATAGTGGGTAAGAACTATTAGATAAGTATTGATGCTCCCTCACTGCATATTGCTTTGACAAAGTTAATTTCTGTCTGGATGGGCTACAAGTTCTCCAACCACAGCCCTATAATGGTCAAGTGACACCTCCTCTCTGGGTTATTACTTAGAGCAACTCACGCCCATGAATGTCACTTGTGTTAAAAAGTGAATGAGGAAAAACTGGAAGAAACAAAAGTTGTTGTTCTAAAGTGATGGGATTATAGATTATTATGTTTTCCAAACATTCTTTAATACTATGATATTTTATTTACTAAATAAATAAATACCAAATATCAGTGGTACCAAAAAACACAACATCTTCTAAAATATAACTTAAAAACATAATAAAATCTTTCTTTTGAATTTGGCATTTCCTGTAATTAAAACAGTGACATAATGCAAATTTCTACACAAGAAATGGAGATGGAATGCCCTGTGGCTCATGACAGGGTCTTAGAATTCAGTCGGCCTCATTGCCAGCTGGGGTTGGTTCTACTTCTCTTTTTAATAGCATATTGCCTATTTCTCTACAAAGCAAATGAACAAGACACTTTTAAAATCTCATATTATTTATGAAAAAAATTACCTAAAATTTGCATATTCTTCTGCTTGCCGTTTCCATGGACAACTCTGTATATCTGTGATAATCTGAAGGTAGTCGTTCTCTGAATACCTAAAAATTAAATGTCAATAGAATTAGAAAATAATGATCTCATATGTGAGTGTTCTTAGAAAATACTTTTATAATCTACTCACTTTAGTCTAAATATTTTATGATACAAGATGAGGCAGAAATAATTAAAATCACACTCATTTCAAAACACTGAGAAAATACAATTTGTAAATGATTATTATGCTGGTTTAGGGATTTATAACTTGCACATATCATAAGCCAAGTGTAGTATTAAAAACCATGACAACACACCAACTCACATATATATCTTATGGACATTGCACCTTGGCTTGAAATAATTGACAAATAAATATATCTTTATAGATGTTTTATAGATGTTTGCCATAAATACATACTCAATAGATTTTTTTCAGACTCTAAGTTCACATATTTACCTCGGAATGTATAGACAAAAATTTCCTCCAAATAATTATACTAAGTTATAATTTTGAACTGTATATTCAACACCCGGATTGAACTGTTGAGAGAGAAGTTTATTGACGTAAAAATCTATAGCTAGAGTGGTATAGTTTGAGAAGCACTGAGCAGGATCCCAGTCCCCAGTAGATCTCTCCCTATGTGAAATTCCACCATTAAGTATTAATTTATAAAGCACAGAATATCCTTTAGTCTTTGTGTTCTCATTTGAAATGCAAATATCCCTTTGAGTGAGAAAACTCTTAAACTTTATTTCAATTAGTAACTTATTCATTAGTTGCCAGCTATTAGTGATCAAAGGCTCTACAACAATGAGATAGAATATATGTTGAAGACATAATGGAGAAGAAAAATGAAACCAGACTGATATCTAGATTGACAGAACGTGATGAAGAGTACTGGGAATGTAAAATATGAAAATACATATGAAAGACTTTTTCTTATTTTTCTAAGTCTTCTTGAAAGATAATTGTTTAAAGTGACTATAATAATATTTGAGGTGGGGTTATATATGTAGCCATAAATGCATGACAACTACAGAACAAAAGCCAGAAAGAGGTGGAGGCGGGGAAGTGGAAATTGAAGTGATATAAATCATTTGACAACTGACAGCAATAAGAAAAAGATGAATACTCTTCACCTAAAACAACCAGCAAAACCAAACAAAATCATAAAAATGTTATCATAAAAATACTCAATCCAAAGGAAGGCAGAAAAAGAGAGAAGGGAATAAAGAACAGGTAGAGAACAAACAGCAAGATGGCAGATTTAGGCCCAACTGTGTGACTAATCTCAACAAATATAAATGATCTAGGCATACCAATTAAAAGGCAAAAAATGTCAAACTGGGAGAAGAAGATGAAGAAGAAGAAGAAGAAGAGGAAGAGGAAGAAGAAGGGAAGAAGAGGAAGAAGCAGAAGCAGAAGAAGAAGAAGAAGAAGAAGAAGGAGAATAATAATCAACCAATCCACATGTTGTCTACATGAAACATATTAAAAGTAAAAAGATAAGAATATAAAAGTAAAAAGATAAATAAAAGTAAATAAAAGTAAAAAGATAAGAATCATTAAAACAAAGTTAGAAGGGCTATATTCATAGTATATTTCTGAGCAAGGAATATTATTACAAGAAAATAATATTTCCAAGCAAAGAATATTAATGAAAACAATGAGATTAGAGTAGAAATTGATAAAATCTTTAAAATTCAATGCGATCAAAAACTCGTTCTTTGAAAACATCAATAAAATTGATAAAACTCTTGCCACACTGATTAGAAAAAAGTGAGAGAAGATACAAATGACCAGTACCAGAAATGAGAGAGGATGGAGTGCTAAGAATCCTTAAAACATTAAAAGTATAATAACTTTATGCCAAAGCTGGTGACTTAGATGCAATGGATATATGTGTTGAAAGACACAAACTACCAAAGGCCACTCAAGAAGAAATTGATAACAAATAGTCCTATAGCCATTAATAAAATTGATTTTGTAATTAAAATTCTTCCTGCAAAAAAACAAACAAAACACTAGGCCCAAATGGCTTCACTGAATAATTTTATGAAACATTTAAGGAATACTAATATCAATTGTAGGCAAAGTCTTCTAGAAAATTGAAGGGAGTAAGACACTTCCCAACTCACTATATGAGAACAGGGTTACCCTGATACAAAAATAAGGAAAAAATATTCAAAAAAAAAAAAAAGGCCAGAATTTCTTATAAAGATAGATGCAAAAAATCCTCAACAAAATATAATTGAATTGAATCCAACAACATGAAGAAAGGATAAAGCACTGTGACCAACTGAGGTGTATATCAGGAATTTGGTTTATTTTAAAATCAATCAAGGCAGCTCACCATATTAACAGAATAAAAAAAAAACACAAATAATAATCTCAGCACACAAAAGGATTTGACCTGATCCAACATTCAGCAATGACGAAAACTTTCACAAAATTTAGTGAAAAACAGAATTTCCAACTTGATAAGCGCATTTTACAAAAACACCTATGGCTAGGATCATACTTAATGGTGAAAGACTGAATGATGAATGCTTTCCCCCTACAATCAGGAAAAAGACAAGCATGTCCACTTTTACCATCTCTATTCCACATTGTATTAGAGGTCCAACCAATGCAATAGAGAAGAAAAGGAAATAAAGCCATCTAGATTAAAAAGGAAATAGTAAAACTGTCTTTATTCAGAGATGTCATAATCATCTAATGATCATAGAAATGATGTATACATATGCCAACACTTGACAAATTATACACTTGAGTTGAAGTTCATTGAACATTACTCCTCAAAAAACTTTTAAATGTTTATTACTAAACTAAAAATTGTATTTTCCATGATGCTATAACTAAGATAATAAGCACTATATATCAGCTGTTTTTAAGGATCAAATATTTAAAATTTGAAATATGATTTATTATGAACCTAGAGTATATTTAAATTGATACGCTTTTTTAAAGAGTTTCCTGGATAGCTAATAAGTTGCTACCCTCCTATGAGCTCTCAGACTGCTTTGACCAACATTACTATAATAGCCTCTCTCACGTTAAATTTAATTATGAGTTTACATGTTGGTTTCTCAGTCTGTCCCTTCCCCTCAGGACTTTGAGGACTGACCATTTCTGGCCCAGCACAATCCCTACGACATGCTGATTTGTTTTTATTAACCTAGGAAATGCATTTTATTTATTTATTTATTTATTTATTTATTTATTTATTTAGAGATGGAATCTTGCTCTGTTGCCCAGGCTGGAGTGCAGTGGCGTGATCTTGGCTCACTGCAACCTCCGCCTTCCCGGTTCAAGTTATTCTCCTGCCTCAGTCTCCTGAGTAGCTGGGATTACAGGCACACATCCCCGTGCCTGGCTAATTTTTGTATTTCTCATAGAGATGAAGTTTCACCATGTTGGTCAGGCTGATCTCGAACTCCTGACCTTGTGATTCGCCCGCCTCAGCCTCCCAAAGTGCTGGGATTACAGGCCTGAGTCACTGCGCCCAGCCTGGAAATGCATGTTTAAATATAAATACAACATGTAATAAGGTCATAAACTATTCTGAATAAGCTCAAAGCTTGGATTATGGTTTCCACTTAAAACTTCCCTCAGTACTGACTTCCACTGACTTTTCCTATTTACAAATCTCCCCATTTAAAGCCCAGCCCTCCTTCAATTTATCTATCGCTTGAGAATTCTCACATTAGAGCTAATAGCTCATTAGTCAATTTTCTCAGTCCAGTAATCCAATTCACCCTTCTTAATTTCCCAGTTTCTTAGTATTAAAGGCATGCGTGTGTGTGTGTGTGTGTGTGTGTGAAACTACTACCCCCTTTTTCCATGAGTAATGTATACATTATCTATACCCATCTTCCTTTTTGGGCTCCATCAATAGTAATCAATGTAGAACTTGCCGATTCAGTCACAGGAAATGGAGAAAGGGGGTTATATTGCTTGGTAGTAGAGATCTAACCTCTGCAACTTAAAGAATACAATAAATCCCTATCTCTTTTTGGCTGACTCTTGGACTTGAGGGAAATCTCCTTTCTCAGCCCTCTTTGTTGGCATGGCGTGGGTTAAGGATCCTCTCGTTCCTTCCTTCATACTTTATCTTATTAATACTCGGGAGTTGGCTCATACAAGCTTATGGGAGCTGACTGTTAAGTTTTCAGGAATGTTGTGAACAGGTTATTAAACCATTGGTAGCTTGAAATCAGCCAAAGTTGAAGCATTTACGCCACAGGAATTGGCAAATTTGACAAATCAGGTTTCTCTGCTTCCCCCCTCCACCCAAGCTAATAGTAAAACATGAATGAGTTCACCATAGCTCGTATACTTCTCATCCCAGCTGTGAGCCTATTGGCCTGGCTCCCACTCATTCATTATCCCCATAGTTTGAGCTTCACTGAGGCTTGCTGAAAAGGCCAGATAAGATTTTGCTGCCACTTCTAACTCATCAAATAAGACTGATCCAGAGTGGTTCTGGGTTGTACAAAACTAACATGTAGCATCCAAACAGCAAGGACTACCTTGGCAAATTAAAGATGACGTTATTAACACCAAAATTGTGTGCAAATGCTCCTGAGTATATAATAATTTTACTTTAGCTTACTTGAAAAGCAGAGATTTTTTTGCAATCATTCTTGCCTGTATATTGAGCTTAGTCTGGAACATTAAAATTGCCATCCACGGACAATTGGGAAAAACATGCATTGTAGAATATGGATAGCCTTTAAAATATTTTGTTTTAAACATCCCTCCCCCTGTATATTGTAGCTGGTTCCAATTTAACCTAATATTGAAAGATGCCAATCATAATGTATCTAAGTTTACTGGTAAGTTAGCTGAATAAAACAGCCTTTGACTTTATGGTCACTGATATGTAAAATGAAGTGAATACCTTATAGCAGACCCATCTATTATTAGATATACTTCTGGTCATTTTATATTGGAAGACAGTCCTCAAGGTACTTACTCCCTGAGATTATGTGTTCAAAAAGTTATTTTTATGTCCAATCTAGAAATGAAGCCTTATCCTCTGATATTATAGAGGGGAAA